GTACGTTTAATGGCAAATACATATACCTCACAGGGCTCAGACATATTTTCCTTCCTGACTAGGGCCAGATTTTACTAGCAGTGGCAACTTTTTGCAGATTCGTTCTGTAGAATCTGAAATTTGTAATAAATTGTGTGTACATTAAATAAAATCAGTTCTTGTTTTTATTTATTTCTTTTTTCTATTATTTGTTTTGCATTAATAATTTCAGTTATGGTTATATAATCATTTTAAATCTGTTATTCATTTAGTTATTCATTTATTAAAAATTAATTTATCAATTTATAAAATTTAATTTATTGATTTGTTGATTTTATTAATTGTTTAGTTTTAGTGCTTTTCCCATTGTTTAGTCTTATTTTGATGGTGTTTCATGAAATGTTCCCTTCCACTCATATAAGATATGAGTGGAGATATGAGATATGAGAGTCTTGTGGCCTGATGTACATTTTTTTATGTTTGTGCTGTTCGGACGAAGTATGAGAGCGCACCGAACCACATGCAACTAAGATTGTTCAATAAATGCTGCTCTTTTATTATCATCACTTCATCTCCTGCTTTTACTCTTCTCTGGCTTACTTCTATTGTCGACTCCTTTATTGATGGTAGACTGCTACTTCAGTTGTATACTGGTTAACAGGTTTGGGTTCTGGAAACTTTGCTGACTTGTTGTCCAAAAACCTGGAGAAACTGACATTGCCTGACAAGATCAGGTGTCTGCAACTGGATCTTATTTACCTGTTGTGGAGACTGTGATCTAACAGTTCATAAATATAATACATTTTATCAGCTATATGAAATGTGAATTATGTGATTATTTTCATTATATAAATCAGTTACAGTAACAACTAGGGCTGCACGATTCTGGAAAAAATGTAAATCAGGATTTTTTTGCTTAAAATCAAGATCACGATTTTTTCACGATTCTGTAAATTTAAAATAAAGGTTAATATGATTAGCCTATTATTATTGTTAATTCTCAAACATATGGTAATACAACAATAGTAATAATAGGCCTATGTGTAGGTCTACTGTTGCTTAAAATGCTACATTTTGTAAAGTCATTATGGTGGACTTGAACAGACTTTCAGTATGTCCTGTTTGTTAATTCACAGTAAAATGATGACATCAGAATATAACTAATCATAATTATATAGTTGATTTATTATGTTTAAGACATGTGACAACATTATGAGACCATTTGTTTTCATTGGTAAAATTAGAATTTTGTCATTATCAGATTCCTTCATGCATTATATTTAACATTATATATAAGCTAGGGCTGTTATTCTGACACCGTAAACGTTTATTTTCACAACACTCTGTGTTCGCTACAGTATGTAAGAAAAAAACGTATCAAATGCTAGTCGTAATCATAACTGTAAAATGCGAAGTGATCAATTAAATGATGTGCGCACAGGTTTCACTTTCACTTCCGCGTGCGGCTCATGGTTGCATTCACTATCAGAGAAAACACATACATGCAAATCAAACTTCATGCACGACTCTCAATCGACTACTCTGTGCAACAAACTGAACGTTATTTACAACTTCATTACCTGTTATTCATAGCCTATGCAGGTTGTGTTCACTTAAGTAGGCGTCATGCGTGCACGCACCAGTAAACAAACATTGCGTCAGTTCGCATGTGATTTCGCGGCCACAAATACATTATAACATGAAGACAGAAATGACATTTTGGGTGAATTATTCCTTATAAATACAGTATGTGACACTTTTAACGCCATTTGAAGATATCAATGTTGTTGTGAAGACTTGTTTGACTGCTTTGCTTCTCTCCTGACCTTGAAAATATGATTGGCTGAATCGTTGAAAAGCTTAATTGATCGTGTGTAAGGTTGAATCGAGATGGTAGTCTTTTTTTGATTAATCGTGCAGCCCTAGTAACAACTATTTAAACAGTTTATTCATTTGTTCTGTTTTAACTGATTGACGTAATTGCTGATTAACCTTTATGCCTGTATGAATTCATACAGTTTTAAAAATGAAACGTGGCATCCACCCTGCCCATAAACGCAACCTTCATTGGGGGATGAGCAAATTATCCCAAATTGTAAGAATAAGATCTAACGAATTCCTACGAATTAGCCACTAGATCAAAAAGTTGCTGTGAGGTTGTGCTGGAATAAACATTAATTTATTTCAACTGTCAAAGTACCCATTTTTTGGATTTATCATCTAACATTTTTCAGCTTTTTTATATAAAAATGAAAGTAAATACTTGTTTTAATTAATTCGTTCACATATCAGAAGAATATCAACTCCATTTGCAATATGAAAGTTTAGTTTAATCCAAAACACCAAAAGTTCTGAGATATATAACTGCATGAAATGCACAAGATTGGCAAGATACAGTACAGGCACAACTTAGAAACTTACACTGTCCCAAGCTATTAGATTGCTCTTAATGTTAGGTCATTTTTAAGAATTGTTAACCAATCACTATACTGTTTTTTTCATAGTCTGTGCACATCATGACTCTGAGGAACTGGCGTGAGGTAAGACATCATTTTATAATGCTTTACTGACTTTATATCAGATAAGCGTTATTGAATCTGATGATGATGGAGTGATTCTTATATTCTGCAGCGTGTGGACTACCTGTTGAAGCAGGAGAAGTTCATGGAGGCTCTGTCTCTTGCCTGGTCCTTTCATGAGGGCACTGCCAAAGCTGTATTAGGTCGGTCCTTCTGTTCCCATCAACTGTAAAATGTGTGCATTTGTCGAGTTTTAAACCAAATTACACTTATTTTCTCTGAAAATGCCTGAAACTTTTACATGTCTGAGCTCTTAGTTTGTTGTCTAACTTTGATAAAATTAGTATTTTTTTTCTTTTAACCTATAGCAAAATTTGAATATCAAAAGACCTGTTTAAAAGAACAGTTTAATACCTGTAATACCCAAATCAGTATGCAAATTTGTTTAAAATTGTAAACCATATAAACCAGAACACACACAAAAATTGGTTTACTGTAGCATGTTGTGCTTCTCTATTTCTAGGTTTGTTTGCAGACCCTGCTAAGAGAAAAGGTGTGGTTGCAGACAAGGTAAGAGAAATGACACATTTAAAAGAATGTTAATAGAATGTCACATCTATACAACGTTAGTTTCACAAGTTAAGACATTTTCCTAAAGCGGTAGTTCACCCTGAATTGTAAATTATTTTATCATTTACTCACCCTTAACTTGTTTAATCTTCTTTCTTCGGTTGAACACAAAAGTAGGTATTTTAAAAAAAATCTGTAAACCTGTATTCACTGACTTCCATAGTACATGGATGTGATTCTTCCATATGAATACAGATTTTCCGTAATTTGGGTAAATCTTTTTTTTCTTTTTGAGGGGGTGTCTTTATCAAAGCAGGCGACTTGCTTCATTCTGGATGTCTTTCAGGGATTTAATTGTAGACCTACCTAGGCTACTGTGTAAATAACATAATGATATTGTGTAGTGACAATATACAACATTATGAAATTGCTTTCAATGTGTGCACGACTGTGCACTTTTTCTGCTCTCACATTTGCATATCACGACCACGTGTGCTCTATGTACATTATAAATACAGCTGCAGGACGCACATTTGTTACTATTCTTAATATGTAAGAATAATTACTTATCATGTCTTCATTAATTCAGTGCTACAGCCTAGCACTTCAAATGTATTACCTGAAAGTGTCATAAGTTTAGAGGGTATTACAAATACAAAAAAAATATTTTTTAAATAATTAAAACTATTTAAAACAGGGACAAAGCTGGAGGAAAAAGAAAGTGAAAGTGATTAACTCTTGTTATCGATGAGGGTGGAATGTTAAAGCATATTAGGCTACTCAGTTCAACTGGATTTAATATATTCACAGGTCGAATTGTTGACTGACTAGTAGTTTAGTTATCATGTGAAATAAAGAGTTTGCTAAATTACAGGGAAAGTTATATTCTCTGGAGTTTGGACACAAGAGAACTACCCGGATTAGTGGCGCCATCTAGCGGCATTGTGTGTGAATTGTTCTGACACAAAGTATAAACCTTTTTTTAAAGGGGAGCAGGGTCTCGTCTTCTTTTTTTCCCTTGGCTGATCACATGCATGATAGTATTTTTTTTTCTTTTATTGAAAATTGTTACAGGTTTTTTGCTTTCTTTAAAAACCCAGAAACTTAAAAACATTTTGAACCACTTAATGTAGGATAAATATAGATTACATTTTCAATTTTACGTGAACTATCTCTTAAAGCTACATGTTGTAAGAAGGGATTGAAATAAAGGATGCCAATTATACAAATTTTTAGAACATTTTCATGGTCTGAATAAGACCTTTTTAAGCCGTGAAGACAGAAGGTCTTTGGTTTATTATTCAGGGATTTTTGGCTTCAGATACAGTAAGGCTACATTGTGTGACATCAAACATCAAGGGGGAATGTGGCTGGTTTGGGCCTCATTTACTGGATTCAGAGTCTGCAACCTTAGCCAAAAGACATTTTGAAGCACCTTCTGGTTTATCTTAGTCAGGGGTTCATCCTACAGGCAGATAATGGCCTGAAACCCTCCTCCAGGCAATGTCAGAAATACCTAAGATGAAAAGAACAAGACAGTAGGCTTCAAATAATGGCCGGTACAGTCTCTTGAGTTAAACCTCATCAAGCTGGTTTAGAGAGAACAGGACTGAGAGGTTAAAGCAAAGTAACTTACAAGTACGACACATCTGTAAGAACTTCTGCAGCAGTGTTGGAGAGACCTTTGTGAGCATTTGATATAAATAGTTAAAGTTTGTCTGTTTTTCTGCAGTGTGTTTGAGTAAAAAAGTAGTTGTGTTGTGTTCAATATAAGTTTTGGGTACTAGCTGGACATTCTTTTAATTCAACAAAATGTTGTTCCCATTTCTCAGACATGATTCTTTTCCACCACATCCCAGAAGTGTTGTTTTGGATTGAGATTTGGTGACTATGAGAGATGTCATGATGTCATGTTATGGTTAAGAATCCAATTTGAGATTACTTGAGCTTTGTGTCAAAACTGTAAACGATTTCTTGTTAAATTAACAGTAAGTTACTGGCAACAATTATCCAGTAGCTGCTGTATTTCATAAAACAGTAACATTACTGTAATACTAATTACTTTAGTATTACATTTACTGTAAAATGTAATACATCATTTTACTGTTTTCTTTTTTTACTGTAACACCAATTACAGTAGTGATACACATACTGCAAAACTGAAAACAGTATTTTACTGTACATTTTTACCATGCAGAACTACGGTATTTTAACGTTACTTTCATTATTACTGTATAGTATTTTACAGTTATCAAATGTTATTTTATTGTATTTAATAGTGCTACTTTATAATGAGCAAAAATGTTCAAAAATTGCACAAATGTTATTTTAACTGTTCAAGAAATTTAAGAAAAATAAAGAAACTGAAACTTTAACTTCACAATAAAAGTTTATTGTGTAAACCCTACTGAAACAGTAGCAATTATTCAATATAACAAAGCAACAGAACACTAATGAACAATTCATCATTAAAACCAGTCAACAATTAATGCATCAAAAATTATTACAATTTTAAAAACAGGTGAAAATACTGCTACAAGACAGGAAATGATAAAGGCCAAATGATGTTGTGGAAAAGGGACAGTGAAAAAGGGCAGGAGCACTTCTGATGATCCTGCAAAAATGACAAGCAAAATCAATCACTGGAGTAAAAACTAATCATGCCTCAAATTATTTCATTCATTCAGAAACCAAACACCGCACTGCTGTTTTATATATATAAAACACTGTTTTTTAGCGTTTTTGTTGCCAAAATACAGATTGTTGTCTATTTATAATTACACTAACGTTAATGGGGAAAAGATCAGTCAAGTCAACACTAGTCAAGTGTCCACACAGGTATGTAAAAAATAAAGTCTCATCTTAACTTAATGTCTGACTTTGTATAGCTTGAATATCTGATTCCATGACCACACTAACGCTTCCACAAATTTAAGAGGGGTGAACACAGTTCATTCTGACCTTAAGAGGCTACATATTAAAAATAAATAAATAAATAAATAAATAAATAAAATAATCTAATTTAACGTGACTAATGTTAATCCAGTACTTTTAAACTTTTAACATGTGAAAATCTACTTCTAACTTACAGACAAGATTGCGTTAGAGAACATGAAAGCCGTGGGTGATTTTTAAAAAAAAATAATGCTAATGATAAGTTACTGACATTTGGATTGCATAAAACAAAGTAATCACCAAGCATTCATTTTTGGCAAAATCTGCCGAGAGGCGCAGCAACACAACGAAATGTGTTAAAGTTGAGCAGAGAACTGAAAAGTAGTCGAGCAGTCTACTACATGAAATGTATGTGGAAATATTCTGCGGTCAATTCATATTACTGTATTTCAATATGCAGTGATGGCATGTCAGTGAGACAAATAAATATTATTACACGTCTCCAGTGACATTTCCTTAAATTAAATCATCATGACGTTACCGTGCACAGCATCAGTAAAACGTTAAGAATAATTTAAATACCAAATTTTTTAAAACAGTCACTGCTGATTACAAACTAACATTAAAAATATAGGCTTACAGAAATCCTGAATGCATGATAATATGAAGATTTATTACTCACTGATGTCGAAGCACTTCCAGGTTGTCAGAGATGTAGACAGGACAGAATATGTGCCATCAAATGAGCTCTTGTGCAGTCTTTGCTGGACATCAAGGTAGTTCACCCACACTGTAAAAAAATAATAATAATAAAATCTGTTATTTTACATGTTTTTTTTTCCCAGCAGCTAGGGTAATAGAGTCATTTGGTTAAGTCAAGTGGTTTAAAATAATTTTATTTATTAAATACTTGCTTACCCATATATAGATGTAAAAGTAACCAAAATAAATTATTATTATTATTATTAAAATATTTGGGACACTAAGCATGTTTGGTCTACAAAGAGAAGTAAACATTTACTTTAAGCATTGATTCTAATGAATCTATTTCTGAACTACATCCAACCTCGCCTCGGAAACAGCATTTTTGAGCATTTAGATCAGGGATGCTCAACCCTGTTCCTGGAGATCTACCTTTCCACAGAGCTCACCTGCAACCTTGATCAAGAACACCTGTCTTTATTTACCAAGTGCTCCTTCAGATACTATTTAGTTTGTTTAGTTGCGTTTGATCAGGGTTGGAGCTAAACTCTGCAGAAAGGTCGATCTCCAGGAACAGGGTTGAGCACCCCTGTTTAAGACAATGAAAAATAAGACATCTAGATGATATTTTATATATCAATCATTTGTGAAATTTAAATGACTTATATTCAGTATATACATAACATAAAATTAGAATAAAATAAATAATACTCTATGCCAAATAAAATACTTCAGATCTAAATAAAGCAGGTGTTTTTACCTAAATGTTCCTTTCCTCCAGTTAGTTTAGTTGCAGATCCCTCCACATCTGTGCTTTATTTGGTTCTTGACTTAAGAGTAACTGGTGTCACATTCCAGGTCAATCACAATCTGAGCTAGAAAGACAATATGGCAAAAGACAAGACACATATAAATAAGTCTTAGAATAAAAAATTTAAAAGGATAGTTTACTATTCTGCCACCATTACTCCATGTGTTTTAAATCCATTTAAATTTCTGTTTAACACTAAAGCAGATATTTTGAAGAATGTTAGAAACCAGTAACTATTGACTTCCATATTTGAACAAAATTTCTTCAAAAAAATATGAGTTTGTGTTCAATGGAACAAAAAAAAAAAATCTAACTATTTTGAAACAAGTGGAGGATGCCAAAGATGCTATTATTTTCATTTTTGAGTGAACTGTCCCTTCAATTCAAGTGTCACGCATTACTCATAAAAACTGATGTATGGCTTAAGGAAAACTAAATCAAGTACCTCCTGTGAGCAAGCAGAATCATTATGCCATTGTTAACTTACAGTTAACAAATTTAACCATAATGATAACTTAGTCATAATGACCCCATGAAGACCAGAGTTTACCTTAACGTTAAACGTTTAACTTTTCATGGTGACTTTGCCTTCATCTCAGTGTTGTGCTGAAATAGAGAATACATTAATGCAGTTAACCAAGTAAAAGTTACGTTTTTTTTCAGGTAACGTTAACGTTACTATAGTCAAAAACTCACTCAAGATAAACTCACTGTATGTTATCTAATACCTCGCAAACACTACAAACACGGTCTGGCGTCGAATAACGTGACATAAGTACCTAACTTAACTAAGTAACTTGGTTAATCATTTTAAATTACACACACACTACACGGGAATATACACAAAACAATCATTTAACGAACAGAATTTGACTTTTAAACACTTACCGAGGATGAATTCACTGGAAGAAAAGGCGACAGGTTGATTTCAAATAAGGAGAGCCGTTGCTTGCCTGGTGAAGGTCGAATCGAGTCGGCTCGGTTCTATGAATCGGCTCCTTAGAACAGTAAAGAGTCGAATCCGCCTAAAACCGATTCCTTTTTGTATATTATTGTAAGACACAACAATGAATCATTACTATTTCGTTATACTGCTCGGCCACACACATTTATACACAAATTGCTGAATGTGCTTGTGAACACGTGTGATAAAATGATTCCCGAGCAAACGGTTCAATCCGATTCGGTGTCGTTTGAGTGCTGAATCGAACCAGTGCAAACGTGATATTGATAAAATAGTAAAAAAAAATTCACTTTACCAGCGAAAATATTACATATATCTGACTTTAACAATAAGAATAAGGTTCGCTTGAAGTGTTTTGAGAATTAATATTTTTTTCTCCCAGAGTTCATTTCACACCAACAAGCAAATGGCGGATGAGAAAAGCCAGATCATATCATAAATATTGCGTTTAATATGTAACGAAATGAAGTTTTAACAGTTTTTCATGCGAGAATGTAGTTCTTCCAAACTTAAATCTGTGGTTTGTTTATAAATATCATGTCTAATTTTAAGTGTGCTTTGCCGATAGGGGAGATTCTGACCTCCAGGGGTTGACGGCGCTCCATCACTCATGTATCCGGCAAACCTCATGCTTTAATCCGCCTAGACATTATTGAGACATGCCCCTGTCTTCGATGACTAGATAATAAATGTGTTATGAAATAAAGTTTTAACCATTTTTCATGCGAAAATGTAGTTGTTTTAAACTCAGGTCTGTGGTTTATTTATTAAGATAGTGCGTATTTTAAAATATTGTTTTGAAAATGCGGAGATATGTGACCTCTACGGTGGCCCATATGGGTGCCCAATATTCTTGAATCCGTCTAAAGCAGGTTGGTCACTCTGACATTTAAAGCTGACTTTGAAATCATTTTGTGTGTTTAACAGTCTTTGGTTACGTGAATCAATTATTTTTGTTCCAATTTACGTTTTGGTTTAGCACAAAGTTATGTTAATTAAATATTATTTAATATTTCCATGTTACCTTATAAAATGAAGGTGCAGTGAAAACCAGGGGACAGTTTAATGCACTGAACAGTCTGAAGAAACTGGTTAGGTTATTTACTTCACAAAATAATTTGTCTAAAAATAAATAAACATAATAATCATAATATATAGTGTGTTTGGAGTTGTTCTTGGTCATTTGCAGTACTGTATTTAGATGCACAGTAACGGATATTTCCCCAAAATTCATTGTAAAATCTACAGTAACATACTGTTAACCATGTTCACAGTATAGAAAAGTTGAAAATACATTATTATACTGTGAAAACAACAATATATACAGTAACACACTGTGCACAGCTTATACAGTAAAAAACTGTTGAGAAATGCAGTATAATACTGTTAAAACAACTGAAATCGTTTACAGTGAAGGTGCAAACTGATACAAATGGGCAAAAACTGTTTAAGAGTATACCTCTCAGACCCAGCTACCAGCAAGAAATATTTATAGAAGGCTGGGTGGATTATTGCTTTCATGTTTTTATGCTTAATTCAGTAACATTCTGTAAAATAGGTTGCAACATGCCTTTATTTGAGTTAAAGGGGTTGTTCATCCACAGGTCTTCCAAGATGTAGGTGACTTTTTTCTTCAGTAGAACATTAAAGAATACTTTGAAATGAATCTGTGGTCCTTCCTATAATGGCAATGAATGGTTATAGGTATTTTAATAATAAAAACAAACAAGAGTTCTGATAATAAAACTATTTATCTGTTTGTAGCAACAGCGATGGCAACAGTAAAGTAACTTATTGTAGGTAAATACAGTTGAAAACAAAACAATTAGTCCTTTTCTAAAATGTTATTTTTTTCAGATATTTCCTAAGTGCTTTTTAAATTAGAGATAGTTTGCAAGTTACTTTGATAAATACTAGTATTCAGCTTACAGTGCAATTTAAATGCTTAACTAGGTTAATTAGGTTAACTTGGCAGATCATTAGACTAGGCATGGGACAATAGCCGTTTTCAAGATATACAGTGGAAAAGTCAAGGTTTTAAAATACCGTTCCTATATGTGTAGGATTTTTCAATTCATATATATATATATATATATATATTTTTTTTTTTTTTTTAGGACAACAGTATGTCCAGCAGAAAAAAGATACCCAAAGATGCCATTTTAAATGATTTTTGAAACTAATGAAAACAGCAAAGGTCAATAGCCTCTTTTACACATTGATAAATATCTGGAATGACTTTAACGGTAAATTTAAAAAAGCTGTGTTCACACAGGCAAGGATGTTATAGAATTTTTCTGGAAAAGACCATTCACACATCCATTCCAAAATACCCGTAAATTCTGACATCATTAAACAGAAATGAGCTCTAAACGGCTGGGCTTGTATTTGTAAATATTTGACGACACACTCTGTGGATGGATATGTATTGTGAACAAGTTCAATGAAAACATATGGAGGAACATTTTTGCATGTCGAGATGTACATGTTATGTGTGTGTGTGCTGGCGCTCACCGGCTGCTTCACATGCACACATGTCAAGCAACTGAAGGAAGCAGAGCTTGAAAGTAAACAAACAGCGGTTCATCATAAGCATTTTATAGCAAATTTTTCCACAATTGGTATTAAGAAGGAACATAGCAATGTTATCTGACTAACATTTAGCGGCTAAATGTGTCTAAAAAAATATTCAAAAACTTTTTATTTTCATAAACAACGCGGATGTGGATGCATCTAAATGTTCTGACTGGCTGGAGTACATGTCTCACATCAGCGTGTTCTAAGCGTGAACACACTATTTTCAAAAATGATCCTTATGCGTTCACACAGGGTTCTTACAGGTGCTGGAAATCCTGGAAAATGCTTGATTTTTAATATAGTGTTTTCAAAGTTAGAAAAGTGCTTAGATTTTAGACAAAGTGCTTCAACCTGCTTGAATTTGAATTTGCAGGGCTTGAAATTTAAACTGTTTTGGTTGCATATGCGCATGATTTTATCTATGTGACCTTAAAATATATTTTGGAGCATATCTGCGAGTGCATAAATTGTTTTCATTGCAAAATGTTCACCACATGCACGTATTTATGGGGCTAATAATGTGCCAAAACAATCTGAATTTGAATTTTTAAATTGAATTATTAACAATTGTAAGTTAATAATACTGATTGTCCTATTAGAAATGTTTTGAATGTGTTTCTTAACTTGATTATTGAACATCTGAAATTTAAGACAACTTAATTTTTTAAGTCAGATTTTAATAGACTTGGTTTTAAACTTCAGATTTTTTTTGATTCTGAATTCAAAGACTGTAGATATTGGGTATGTAAAAATACAGTTTCAAGTTTTTTAAAAATTCAAATGAACACAATTAAAATTCAGATTGTTTTGGCACTATTAGCTTCATATGTATTTAGGAGACATTCTCCCAGAATGCATCTTTGCACCTGAAACGCCAGTCAACGCCAGTTTTTTTTTTTAATATTTATATAATAATTCAGGGGGGCTAATAATTCTGACTTCAACTGTATATAAACGTAATTAACCATGGTCATTAGGTGCTGGAAAAGCATACAAATGCACCTAAAAAGTGCTAGAAAAGTGCTGGAGTTTGAAGTTGAAAAAGGTGTAAGAACACTGCACACAGTGCAGCATTCTGGCATAGCGGCATAGCAACTTCTCTTTCCGGAAAATTGCCAGAACGAATTTACCGATATTTTTAAAAAGAGCCTGTTCACACATACAGACCTTTCTGAAAAATTGACGTGTGTAAATGTGTCTCAAAAGAAAATATATTGTGTTTAAAGGGCGAAAAAGTTTTTTTTTTTGCAGACATTTAAAAAGAATATATTTTAGAGTAGTAATCACAATACAGTGAAACTGTGATATTTTTATCTAGGTTGTCATACCATTAGAAAAATATACTGGCCCATGCCTACATTGGACAACAGTAATTTGTTCTATAGCAATAAAATAATAATAATAATAATAATAATAATAATAATAATAATGATAATAATAATAATAATAATAATTATAAAGAAATCTTAAGGGGGCAAATAATATTGACCATAGTAAAGTTTTTAACTTTTATTTTATTTTTATTCCAGCTAAACTAAAAGAAATAAGACTTTCTCTAGTAGAAAACCAGAATAGGAAATACTATGAAAAATTACCTTGCTCTGTTAAACATCACTTGGGATAAATTTGAAAACATAATTAACATTTCACAAGAGGGCTATTAATATATTCCTCTGCTGATTTTCTCTCTTCACAGATGGTGGAAATTTTGTTACAGTATGTGGAGCGCTCTCTGAAAAAGTGTCCAGAGCATGGGAAAATCCAGGTGATGGAGCAGCACTTTCAGGTAATTGCTCTCCCAGAGAAGGCCTTTCAAATGAACCTCAAATGGGTTTATGGAGTCATTAAAGTTAGTGCTTAAGAAGTCAACTGTTTTTTCATATTATTATTTTACGATCAAGATAACTTGTAACGGGAATGGGTCTGAGCTGAATAGTTTTTCAGCATTACAAAGGCTTTTTAGAGAGGTGAGAGTGAGGGGAGCAATGCAGACAGTCTCCTTTATGTCAGTCTTTAGGCCTCCGGCATCCATTTTTAAACTGCATCTCATCACAAGGTGGAAACCGCATATAATAATGGCTCACTAATATCATCTCTCCGCTGCCTCTGGGTCTAGCTCGCTCTCAGATTTCTTTTTGCCATTAAGAAACACTCTGTCATCACAAAAATAAGGCACTCACCAAGGCCAAATGGTAGATTTAGCTCTGTTTATCTAGGCTGATGTGAAATGTTCTGTTGCTAAACTGCCTGTTTCTCTGTGATATTTCAGCTCGTTTTAATATATTCTAAGTTGTTGTTTTTTTGCTTATGTAGAATTTTGAAATATTTTTGTTTAAATTATTTTTTAAAGAAAAGTGAGATTGATTGAACATTATTATAATAGTTTCACAATCTTTTTCAGCCCTGCGACTTGGTTCACCACACAATAATTTAAAAAGGATGACAGAAATATATATATATATATATATATATATATATATATATATATATATATATATATATATATATATATATATATATATATATATATATATATATTAATTCTGAAAATTAGCTAAAGGTCATGAATTCAAAATTTTATCAATATATCATTAGAAATTAATTAATTAATTTATTATTAGAATATTATTCTTTAAAGTGTGCAGTTGGATGGTTTCTTGCTCAAAACTAAAAAAAAAGACATTTTGTGCTCTATTTTAATGATCTAGGCGCAAAGTCTAAAGTGTATGGCGCAAAAGCATTAGGGATGTGTCCAAATCCACTTTTGCTATTTTGACCCTTTAACTGCCTGCTCTACCAAATGGTTGACCATATTTTGGCTATTTTAAATGATGACTGTTAAAGTCGTTTAAAGAATGACTGTTTTAAATTATGGTTTACACGACACTAACTAGCGACATTAGGAGTTAAGAAATCAAATTTTTTTCTTTCTTGGTGGGACAGTTAGAGGTAAAATACAGTTTACGCTAAGACGCACAGTCTAACAGTGTCGTGCTTAATGAGTTATGTGTGTGTTTTAAGCATAGCATGCATTAACCAATCGGAGTCTTATCTCCATTCCCTTTAAGAGTCAGTTGCATTGCACCATGGTGCATTTGCTATTTAGGCTGCATTTACACTGCAGATCTTGATGGTCAGTTCTGATTTCTGTGACTGTTTCCGATTTTATTTGTTGACCAACTTATGTCATCTTTTAAAAGTGACTCGTATAAGATTGTCTGTATTTACAAAGCACACATCAAAGGCGCAATGACCAGGAAAAAAGAGCGGGTGCGTCTTATATTAAAAGAGCACTCTTTTCCTGTTTTTAATTTGTTTACAGGATTTAATTTTTTAAAATTCTTTTTGACAAGTTGTTTTGCTGTAGTTTATGACAGAAAATTTCTCATTTGGCCATCTTCTTTTAATTTATGCTTTTCTTAAACCAGTGGGCATAATCCCTATGGTGTGATTTATGCATGTGATGTATGCAACAGTTTTATTTAAGTTTAAATTGCTTACGTGGCGGATGTTGCGCTCTCTCTTTCTCTCTCATTAACATGCTGAAATACTTGTGCTATATGACAATATAAAAGCTTTGTTAGTCCTGGTGTATGAGATTTAAGGCTTGGGACTCTGCTGAAGTCTGTTCTGAAACTATAGCACCAGAGTTGACGTCGTTCTCTGTGGTTTATAATGATGTGCGATCTACAGTACCTGCTTACACTGCAGACACGAGGGCAGAGATACAATTCATATCGGATAAATTTCAGAAAAAAAACTGAATTAAGTCACTTTACTTATGCAGTGTAAATGCAGCCTTACATTGCAGACTTTGTAGGTAGAAAAACTGATTGCTTCACTAGTAATAAAACAGTCAAACAGACCATCTGCGCATTGATATAAAATGAGCCTCTTGCTTTCGGCCTCTACTTTTTCTTTACTTTTTTAACCTACTTTACTTACGTTCGTGGAAAGGAAAAACGGTGTTGTACGCACTTCACTGAAGACATCAGTTAGCATACATATTTAATTTTGTTTAAGCGCAAAGATTTGTTTAAAAACTATTTCGAAATTCAGTTCTAATTTCCAGAAAATAAATAAATGAACAATAATAACAAAGTGTGGTTAAAAACCAGTTATATCTAAATACACTTCCTATTCTTATGCCCCTTATGGTGATGCATACGTCCCCAAAACCTGATAGGTGGACAAATCTAAACTTGTTTTTATTAAAACAAATATAAATTTGCATGTAATAAATACCACTAATAATGGATTTGCTATTTTAACAACAAAGCACAAAATGTAAAAAAAAAGGATTTGACTGGTCTGAAAATAGCAACAAATCGCGACAAACCTGTCTTGCACCTTATTGCGCCGATGTATGATAGGGCCCTTGGTGTTTGTTCAAACTACTTATTTAAAATGTGCTGAAACAATGATGCACATTGTTTTTTTATGGGATTTTTTACACAGTATGTTCAATCCACTTAATTTTGTAAAAACAAACAAGTTAGCTTAATACCATCATGTTGTACAAAAATTGATTGTGTGGAACCCAGCATTTTTTTTTTTTTTTACTGTGAATGATTTATTTTTCCTGTCTCTACTTGCTTATAATAGTAGATTTTCTTAAAAGAAACAAACATGGCATGTTGAGTATGTTTTACTAAACTTTCCACTTGTTTAATCTTTTTGTCAACGCCTGCTTCTGCAAAATGTTTTTCTTACTTAGGACTTTTTGTCTTGTTTTTATTTTAAATATATAAAAATTCTTAAATAGAGAAGCATTTTCTAGACAAGCAAAAAACATTGACTTTTTTCAGAAATAATTTTCCAAAAACCTTAAAACGAGCAAAACAATCAGCCAATGGGGTAAGCAAATTAATCTTGACTTTTAGTTTTGGCATAAGATTATTTTGCTTATCCCATTGATAGATTAGCTTGTTTCAGGGAAAAACTCGAAATTTTTTGACATTATTTCTGAAAGCAAGACATTATTTTTTGCTATTTACTTATTTGGACAAGAAATGAGACAAAAATCCTAGAAAAAACTTTTTTGCAGCTAAATAGCTGCCTTAAAAAGCCAAATTGCTCAGTCTAAATATTAATACTTAAAAGTTCAGAAAAGTTTATGTAAGTGTAATTTATTCAAATGTCATCCTTTAATTTACTTATGATTTTTAGCAAAAGCTAATGTAGTTTGCAAAGGTGAGGTTGCTGACACATAATATTTTCAGTATCTTTGAGAGAAAACATTTCTAGCCTTACTTGATGATTGCTTATTAGATGACATTTAAAACTTATTGAGCTTTAGAGATTAATTTCCAGCATACAAAGGGTGCAAAGTCATTTTGTTTAAAGTCAAAATTTAATTGATATTTTTATTTCTGTAAAGAATGACTCACTCAGATAAGCTTGTTATTTACTGGTAAACAATAGCATTGCTATGGATGTTTTGTCACTTAATATAGCCCTTTGGAAGCTTGTAAGTTTTCCATTGAGAGCAATTAGACATTGCAGACCAGTCTTGTCTGGTAAATAAGGGTCAGGTGTGTTCAAACATTTAGTAAAAAATATATCTATAGTGTTTTCAAGCAGATTTAGTTCTGTAATGTGACAGGCTAAAATGCAGTTCAGATCATTTAATTGTTTGACAGTTGATTTGAAAATGAAATATTCTATATCAAAATTAAAGCAAATCCTTACAAAATAGCACTATTAGCTGAATAAATTTGTGATCATTAGAATTTTCTGGACTGTAAAGTGGAACTTACAATACTTCACTCAGTTAATATAAAATTCACTTCACTTTGTGAATGATAGCTGTTCCAGTTTTGTGAAAGTCTTTGGGGCCTTCTGACAAGTTCTGCATACAGATATCTCTCTTTCGTTTTTTAGCCTACATTGCCATCTCTGATGTAAAAATATTTATTTATACTGTTTATTACAGTGAGCATTCTGAATTCATGAATTCCCTCTCCTTTTTTTTTTCACTTCAAACTCTATCACTCCATCTTTTCTTGCTTCTACTTGCCTTCCTCTTCTCTCCTCTGCAGGATGTGGTTCCTGTCATGGTGGATTATTGTCTTCTTCTACAGAGGACGTGAGTGTATAGACATCTTTCTTCCTACACACATGCAAGACCCGCACTTATATAGATGGTTGTCATACAGTATTTGTGCATTTCTGCACAGTAGATTCTGACACTTTTCTTTTTTCTAGAAAGCAATGGTGTTTGCAAAAAGATCCATAATCATTAATTAAATGTTCTGACTTTATATATTTCACAACAATTTTGACATGACGCAAATTATTACTGAAAATTAGTTAAGTGTTTAAGTGAATATCAATGAATCAATAACACCACCATTTGATTGTTTGATGTTGGTAGCAATTTGAAGATTTATTTTCTGCTCATCTTTAATCCAAAACGTCTCACAATTGCTGACTACCAACTTTATTAAAGCCCTGCACAATATAAGCTTTTAGTTGTCCATAAAGCATCAAAATAGATGGTTTATGCTTAAGGCATTTTTTTTTAAATACAATGTTTTTTTTCAGGATTCTTGCAGTCAGTAACTACTACTATTGTCATATCATTTTAATTTCACATAAATGACATACTGTAACTGGTTGATTGTAAATGTTAACCCTATAGATTAGATATAATTGTGCATTAGTTATCAATTTATTCACCTTTTAATTACAATTACATTTAGGTTTCAAAAAAGTTTTATCACATAAATTTTGGTTGCCCAAGTTAACCCTCTAAAGGATATTCAAAGTTATGAAAATCGATTCAAATATGTGACGTTTCAAGCTAGTAGAAATGTTTAACGAATGATAATACAGTTTTTGGACAGAGGGGGCGATGTGTTTACAGGTGCAAACTCGCTTTACCCGCACATCAGCAGCGAGCAAGACGTGGGGTGGCAGAGTAAAATGACAGCGACGAAGTTCACCCGACAAAACGCAAACTTTGTGCAAATATTGCAAAAAGACTTTTACGTAGACTAACAGAACAACGAATATGATGCACATAATCCATCAGCACTGTGAAAAACTACTGTCACAGACGTCTATATGCAAAAAACTGTTACTAAGTCAAACCTAGCTGACTTGCAGCTCCACTTGCTTTGACGAGTGCTGTGGGGATCCCACGCTGCATCAATGTTTTCATAGCTAAACTGTGAATATTAGATTATTTTCACCCTCTTCTTTTTAAATTAGTTTATGAATTTTTAAATAATTTGCTTATTGTTGGATATTTAAAACTGCTTGAAATGATCTCTTCTGAAGTGTATCATACTGATACGCATACTAATTATTTATTCATTTGTTCATTTTCTTTTCGGCTTAGTCCCTTTATTAATTCGGGGTCGCCACAGCAGAATGAACCGCCAACTTATCCAGCACATGTTTAGCGCAGCGGATGCCCTTCCAGCTGCAACCCATCTTTGGGCAACACCCATACATACTCATTCACACTCATATATTATGAACAATTTAGCCTACCCAGTTCACCTGTAGTGCATGTCTTTGGACTGTGGGGGAAACCGGAGCACCCGGAGGAAACCCACACGAATGCATGGAGAACATGCAAACTCCACACAAAAATGCCAACTGACACAGCTGAGGCTTGAACCAGCGACCTTCTTGCTTAGAGGCAACAGCACTACTTTCTGCACCACTGCGTCGCATCCTAATTCACCATACATATAATATTAATAATTCATTCGTTCATTCATTTTCTTTTCGGCTTAGTCCCTTTATCAATCCGTGGTCGCCATAGCGGAATGAACCGCCAACTTATCCAGCATGTTTTTACGCAGCGGATGCCCTTCCTGCCGCAACCCATCTCTGGGAAACATTCACACACACTCATTTACACACACACACACACACACTCATACACTACGAACAATTCAGTCTACCCAATTCACCTGTACCGCATGTCTTTGGACTGTGGGGAAAACCGGAGCACTCGGTGGAAACCCACGCGAGCGCAGGGAGAACATACAAACTCCACGCAAAAAATGCCAACTGACCCAGCCGAGGCTCGAACCAGCGACCCAGCGACCCTACTTGCTGTGAGGCGACAGCACTACCTACTGCATCACTGCGTCACCAATATTAGTAATTGACTGTCATAATCATGTTCATCTCCTGTCTCTATCCTACTATATAATTAGTAATTTTATTATCAGTTTTTATGCCAGTGGCCAGTCCCCTAGAGCAGAGGGCCTATTGACCACCTCTGTACCCACTGCTCTCTGGTTTAGGACAGGCTTACATCTTCACACCAGCCATCTCAGTCCTCAGTGAAAGAGGTTTTTTCAGCATGGAACATTGTAAATATGCAAAGATGGAGTGACCACCAGCTGTTATTAATTAAAAAAATATTTTTAATAAATGTAAAAATGTCTAGTCATAATTATATATATTTTATTTTGACTATTATAATGTTTAAATTGGTTTGTTTTAATAGCAACCTGCTTATATAACTTTTTTGTTTATTTGCTGAATACATGTCAACGGGTCCAGTGCTCTAACACTAGTTTTTTGCTGGTTTTGACTGCTCGTCTGAGCTAGGGATCTGAACTAGCAGAACCCGTTCCAAGATTTGATAAATAAGAGAATACTTATATTGATCAAATAACCTGGGGCGGGTGTTAAGATGCCTAAAATGCACTTAAAAGACCACTTGCGGCAATCCTGCAAAATGTACATATGCCGTATAGTAAAAACATTAATTTTGAAAAAGAAAAGTTATATTTGGAATTAATCGAACTCGCAGAAGCAATGACGAATTAACACCCATTCATTCAGGAAGCAGCAAGTGCCGGTTTCTCCCATAGTAAAAAAAGTTTTGTCCGGTCAAGCGTGGTGCGCGTGTTGTGGTTTCTGACATTACTATAGTTATAATCAAGAAGGTTTCAATTATATGTGCAGTTTTACTAAAGTCCGTTTAAGGCAAGTCATTTCACTCGACAGCCATCCTTGCAACACCTCTCGGGAATTATGCTTGGGCATTCCCTATGAATAAGTAAGCATCAAATACTCCATAATTGCTTGCCAAGCTTAAAATAAAATTTCATATTAGGAAACAACAATGAAATTAAACAACAGCTGTCATTTTAGTTTCATTTCTAAACCTTCGAACCACACAGAATCTGCAGCATTTCACTTCTGGTCCGAGTCCCTCCCTCGGAGAATCTTCAGTCTGTAGTGATCGCTGATTGGCTCCTGTACTAAAAACGGGGCTTCATTTGGTATATTGATCGTTACACTTTTCCCCATTCAAAACAATACAAGTGACATGTCTTGTGTAGTCTTTATAGTCTTTGGTTTTATACAGATATTGAGTGGGGCCTAAGAAGTTAAATCTGCTGACGGTTCGCCACTTTATAGCACCTACAGTGCCAGGATATTGGGTCTCCTTTTTTTATCCTCAATCTCTCTGGGCATAGGGACATGTAATGTTCATTTTATATTTGTTCAAATCATTGACAGTTTGCTCAGTGAAGACTTTTTCTGTACAAGTTTCTAACCTGCCACAAATAGTGGGTTCATTGAAAAATGTCAGAGGAGATGTTGAAACGTATGTATTTGGTTTAGGGGATAGCGAGTTATAAAAGGTTGGCAACCACGGGTGTAAAATATATTGTAAAATAGAGTATAGAGCTGAGATCGCTTTTTTCCGCCCGCAGCTTAAAATACAATAAACTGCTTGGGTGATGCAGGAGGGGGCTATCAAGTGATTGACCAATGCACTCCAGGTAGGGCTCCCTGCATCCTGCAAAGTAAATCCAACCCTACCTCTGTGTGTAAAGACAGAAGCAATGTCTACACTACGCTTATTCATTTATTTATTTGGAGATCATATGAATACAGCAGAATGAAATAAAAGTGTTGTTTTATGTAATTCTGGCTAACACACTGTCATAAAGATGTAGATTAAATATTTATAAAAAAGAAAAAGCACACCGAATATAATAAAATACAAATAAAGCAATATAAAACAAACAAAAGCTATAACAAATTAGTCCTATTAATTACTAATAAATTAAAGCCAGCCTTAGTCATTTTTAATTTTCTTTTTACATAGGATCTGAAAAAGAGTTAAGTTATTTTTCTAAAAAACAATAAACAGGAGTTTTGAAATATAGTGTAAACTGTTTAAGTAATACTATGGTTTTAGTGCACTACGAAGGGAACGCAATTATCACTATGAAAATCGATAAAAGTGAACTGTAAAAAATACATTGGAAAGCAAATTATACAAAAGAGAGATGGTTTTAAAGCCTTAACTTTTTTTTTTTTAATTATTCCAAGTTTAAACGTTGGAACATTTGAAAGGAGTAGGGTGTAGGGGAGGATAACTGGGAATACACAACCAGGAACTATGCTTCTGTTTGCGACGCAGTTTGTGAATGTTTGTTGAAACTAGGGATTTGGGAAACACCATTTCAACAAACTATGTTTATAATGTTAGAACTTGTTACCTTAATTGGTTAATGATGGTTTTTGGAAATCCCTGGGCAGGTTGTTTAATTTGGGGGCCGTTTGCTCACACTGGTTTGATTATGGAAAATCGGTTGTTCCTTGTGCCACCTGGTGGATATTGGGTAAAGCACAAAATTGTTTTTTTTTTGTTAAAAAGACTGAGCGTGACAAATTGCAGCACTACGCATAAAGAAATGTATTCTTAGTAGCCACATATGTTGCACTACATTCAGTAAGGATGGCAGTATAAAGTGAGTGTTACATTATATTAAGCATCTTTTTGTTTTACTTTTAATTTAGGTAGTAAGAAGAAATGTTTTTCTATTCTATTTTCTAGTTTAGTTTTTTCTCTCTCCAATTTCTTTTTCATTATTTTCTTTCAGCTGACAACTTGTGACAATCAATATTATGCCACAAAGTTGTAGAGCATAATTAGATTTGAATTTTGAACCTTTAACTGTAAAAAAATAAACTCTTATGTATTTGTTTTATAGACTTCCTGTTCTACGGTGATTAATGTCAATGATTGTGTTACTGTCTCCTATATTTGCCTTCAGCTCTTCTGCAGGGATTTCCTAATAAGCGCTAATGAGATTC